TTTTTATTTTGTCAATATACAATGTATATGATTATTATGGCCCATCACCGGTTGTATCACTTTTATTTATAAGAACTCAGTAATTCAGGTCAAATTCCAAAATGAAATTTTTAGATATGCCAACTTGCCCCGTGCCACATTTGATTGGTATTTTCAAAGGCTATTCAAAGAAGTTTTCTCCCAATAAGCAATGGATTGGGATTTAAGATACAGTAATGTAGAGAGAGAAGGAACAGCGTTGATAAAGAATGATTAAGAATAGAGTTGTAAACCAGTCATCAGTTGCTTTAGAGCCTTGTGTTCTATAAATAGTAAAAGTGCTAATTTATTATTCTCACCTAGCACTCATATAACAGATTTTCTTTTTCTATATTAAAAGAAAACATTACAGCAGAAAAAAAGCTTATATAATGGTATTACACATGTCTAATAAAAAATAAGGATAGTGTTAGAGTGGTATAAACCACGTATAATCTCTTATAGTTGAGATGTTTAACAAAGACCCTAAATATGTGACTTTTTAATCTGTGACTGTGAAATTGTGATTTGGGTTTATTTCCATAAGTGTAAAGTAGTGTAACCACCAATAATTCCATTACCTTTTCTTTAATTCCAGTAAAAATGGCTTTTGTTAATAAGACTGATACTTTAGATAATTTTATTTTTGAGGTATTATTGTGTATTTTCTGTTATTTCAAAAAATGTGGTGCTGAGTATTATTATGTCCCAATCAGTTGACTTATGATACACAACATTTTCATACTTGGGAAATGTTAACACGTTACATCCCTTGCTTTGAGACATAAAAGAATTAATCACAGACAACACATTTTCATTTTCCTTTGACCCTTGAGGCAATTTAAATGATATGGTTTGCATGCAGCCTTATTTCGGGACTTCAAAGACAACTACATTATCCATCTGTTTGCGTTTTCATCCCAGGCTTTACTCCTCTTGGCATTGTTTTGTATATGCATGAAAATCTGTAAATTTTTTTTGCATGACAAGTTATCAGTAACGTTGAAGTTAAATGTCTAACATACCTTGCAAAATCACATGCCATTAATTCTTACATGGTATTTTTTTTTTCTTTTATTTTCAGTTACTGAAGTTTAAATTTGCTTGAATGTAAAAGTGGCATGAAACTGGAGTGATGCAAGAATATTTAATGTACCTTTAAGGACTATCATTTTTAACTGGGAAAATGAGGGGCAGTTCCCAGGCTTGTTTTTGGACACTGATCCTCAATTACAAATGAATATAAAAGGATATTGGCATAGGTGCTGTCAACAGAGTGATAAGTTCTGAAAGTATACTTTTTTCCTGAGAATGTATTTTTAGTACTCGAATATGAAGTATAAAATTTGTTCCCTGATTTCAGAAGTTATTAAATATTTGATTTATTATATTTTGTAAAGCCTTCCTAATCGGCATAAAATCAAGTTCCATTACATTAGTGAAAATTCCTAGTACATAAAAAAGTAATGAATTCGGCCGGCCGGTGGCGCACTGCTACAGTGCGCCGCTTGGGAGCGCAGTGGCGCTCCTGCCGAGGGCCGAGGGTTCGGATCCCACATACAGACCGGTTCCCGCTCACTGGCTGAGCGAGGTGCGGGCGCAGCACCGAGGGTTGCGATCCCGTTGCCGGTCCCGGTCCGGTACGGGCGCGACACTGAGGGTTGCGATCCATTGCCGGACACGAAAAAAAAAAAGACAGAAAGGAAAAAAAATAAAAAAATAAAAAAGTAATGAATTACTTACTAAATGACAGCATCAACATTTAGTACTTTAATGTTTCCTAAATGAACATGGTTACCAAAGTGATATTAGATATAGGAGTGCATGAGTATACAAAGAAAATAAATTATTTACACCATTTTGTCAAGCTTCAAATCCATAAGGGCACATAACTAATTCCCACCAATGAGACAAAATGCGTACATACAAACAAGAACCCTTCCCTTGCAAGTAGTCATCTTGCTGGCTCTGCATTTTTTCCTACCAGCTGCCATTGTTAAAGCTGTTTTAGAATACCCCTTTTCAAATTACCTTCAAAGTTTTGGGCACATTTATTTCAATACCTGTGAAGTAACAAATCTTGTTCCTTGGAAAGTGATTTTAATTAAGTCTCTAGAAGACCTTCAGTCAAATCAGTCAAATAATGATGGTAATCAAGCTAATAAAACATTTTTTTAAATATGTGAATATGAAATTAATAAGACTTGCATGGCCTATAGCTTGTAAGATGACTGTGAACACATTTCCCAAAGAGCAGCCCCACATAGCATCTACATAATAACAGCAACAATGGAATAAATGCAGTTTTCTTTTTTTTTTTTTTTTTTTTT